CAAGAAATGCATCAATGTAAATTATTTTGAATGTTCATAAAAAATAAATAATTATGTTCTACTGAGGAACCTTCTGAAGACATGATTTAAAAGAAGAAAAAGGAAACTTTGAGTAAATCTGCTGTTGGAGAAATTATAAGGTCCAATTTCCCTAACACCAGTGGGCATGAGGTGGTTCTTGCTATATTTTTAGAAAAAAGAATCCTCTAAGATTCACATGGGAGAATGGATGGCTTTTATTTACATTCCTCAGGTGTCAAAGTCCCATGCCCCTTAACCCAGTCCTGAAAAAGATGCAGCTTGAGTGCTAGTAGAGCCTAAAGCAAGGGCAGTGTCCAGAGCTGCCACTCCATGTGCAGCCAGTTCTAGTTCAGCATCAGGCTAATTCAAGTCCATTAGTCTATTGTGTGGAGCCCACATGGCTGTGGGCCACATGGATGATTGCAGGGGATTGGGCCTGCAACAGGAGTCAGTTGCAAACAGCAAACAAGCAAGCCAAAAGAGTGACCTGCCTTTGTTCAGGTGTTTAAATATTCAGGTTTCATGGCCTTTCAGTGACCAAGTCTATTCTGGCCAATTCCCTGTTCCCAGGTGTGATTGATAGACAGGTAAGCACCTTCCCAAAGTATAGACACTCAACCACCATGCTCTACAGTGTAGAGTCTACACAGAGAAAGCAATTTATTGGTCACAATCCATACTCAAACCATACCAGGCATGCATCCAAACATCAACCAGGAGGGGAACAGACTTGTAGAGTATTAAATGCAGCTTTTTGGCAAGGCTGTATAAATGGCATGCTTATACTATTTTTACTCCTTTTCTGTTAAATAATGGCCAGGTTATTACAATGGTATCAAATTTAGTCTTGTTTTTAGTTTAGTCTTAATAGCAGTATATTCCTGCTCTAATTAGTTTGACCATAGGTTTGATGCAAAATATAATTTGCTATGTATAAATATTCTTCCTAGGAAGAATTAATTACAATTACATTTTAAAACAAAATTAAAAGACTAACATATCAGTGGTCTCCCAATCTTTATGACTATAAAAAAAATGTATACACCTCCAGTGTATGTATATGTAATATTTATGAAATAGACACGTATTCATAAATATTATGTGCTAGAAAACATACACAAAGTAGGAAACTTAATAGGCTAAGGTAAAAATAAACATAAATAGATATTTGGATTGTCAGTCTCTGAGGAGTACATGTTCTGCTCTTATTTTTTTAATCCTTATTGTTGAAAGTTTTACATATGTCTCCTTTTTTCTCCCATTGACCTTCCCCCAGCCACTGCCCCAGGCCTCCACCACCCTATTGTCTGTGTCCATGGGTTATGTAAATATGCAGTCAAATTCTTTGATATCTTCTCACCCACCCCTGCCTTGCCTCTGAGATTGGACCGTGCACTGTCTGCTTTAGAACACCGCTCCACAGGAGCAGCATACACTTACAGTGCCAGGCCTCACTTGAAGAGCTCTAGACAAAGAACTCATTAATCCTCATGACAGCTCTCTAAAGGGACTCTGCTACTCCCTCCACTTATAGATGAGTGATCTACAGCTGGAAGGCACTGGGTGATTTACTTAGGGTCACACAACTAAGTAGTGGTAAAGCTGGGGTTCAAACCCAGAAAGTATAGACACTCAACCATCATGTTCTACAGAGAAAGCAATTTACTGGTCACAATCCATACTTCACATATTAACCTCTTAACCCTTTGTCATCTCACCCCACTGCCTCCCCTACCTGCTACCTTATACTAAATTACACCATTTAAAGATTAATAACAAATCTATTTAATATTAAAACCAAATTGCAAATAGAGAAGATAGATGTGCTTTCTATAACAGAAGAGTATATCCTTTTGTTTGCCTTGCTACTCCTCAAATGCTCCCCAGCTACCCCTCCCATAAACCTCTTTGAGCAAGCATCAATTAGAGATCTCCTGATAAGAAGAAGGAATATCTAGCTCAGGCAACTTTTTTTAATCAATATATTCATTATTTAGGGTATCTCTATTATCAAATTGTAAAGGTAGCATTGTAAATTATTTTCTTTGAACTATGTTCTGGGGCCTAGTATAAATCCTTAGTTGCATTACTTAAAATTAAGAAAAATGAGATCCTTAATTGCTTATAGGTAACATTGTTAGATACAATTCAAGAAAAAATAAAATTCTGTTGAATATGGACTCCCTTGCAGTCTGAACTGGGTCTATAAAATATTTGTTTTTATTAGTATTTTATAAACAGAGAAATATGACTAATTGGTTACACACTCATCTACATATATAAAAGCCTAAGCAACCATTTACAACCAGATGGACTGGTTGGTAGCTATGATGCACATCAACTACCAGGGGCCAAACACTTAATGCAGGAGCTGTCCCCTGGTGGTCAGTGCGCTCCCATAGTCAACCCCCTGCAGTCCCTACCCCCCATTGGTTGGCCCCAATTGGGACTGCAGGAGATGACCCCAATCAGCCTCAATTGCCAACCAGGCTGAGGGACCCCACCCGTGCATGAATTTATGCACCAGACTTCTAGTTTACAATAACAGTACAAATGAAACTACTTAGAGAAAACTTAGAGGAAAGTTAATAACAGACAATTTTCAGTTAGAACAAATAATTACAAATCATTGTCACAGAGTTCAAATACAGTTGGGGAAGGCCCATTGTTGATACAAATTTGTAATTAGCACCTGGTAGCTGCTCAATAAATAATTAGAACTAGCACTGATGTTATATAATGAGTTAGATGATTCCCTCTATTCCATCCTAGGATATAGTTATCATTAATAACATTGTTTTGGCAGGAAAATTTGGTTTCCAAACTTTAATTTTGGATTCCAATCACAGATTAACATGGGTGTTTCATAATAGCACTGAAGAAAGTAATGACCAGTAGCCCTGGATAGTGTGACTCAGTGCTTAGAGCATAGGCTTGTGCACCAAAGGGTTGTGGATCTCTCTCTCTCCCTCCTTTCCCTCACCTGCCCTTCCTTCCTTCCACTTTCTCTAAATATTAATGGAAAAATATCCTTGGGTGAGGATTCACACACACACACACACACACACACACACACACACACACACACAGTAATGGCCACTCAGCAAGCAAGAAAACCTCCAGTGCTGATTTTCCAAAGCTTCATGGCCACCATGAAGAGAAGAACCCTCCCCACACCTCACAGTCATGCCGTTGAGGAAAGGTGATTTGGAAATGATTTCCTTGGCTTAAAAGGAGGATCTCTGCTTCTGGTATATCTTGGCCTTGCTGTTCCCAGACAAGGTGTTACAGGATTAGTTTGTGATGACTGTTTGCGATTTCTCTGTTATGGATTTTTAAATAACATGTCCTTGGCAGGAAATACATGTCTTTAAAGGACAAACTCCTATAAAAAAACAATAGACAGTGTATTTGCCTTGAAGCTTGACAAGTGTATATTTATTACAAGTAGAACATTTTCAAAAGAAAAACATTTCTAGGTACTTATTCAGAAAAGATGTTTTATCAATGCTTTCCCCTTCTCTTGTTTTGAATCAATGCTCTTTATTATTTACTCTGAACATGACAAAAATTAGAAATAATAAATTCCCACAAATTTAAATTAATTAGAAGATCCAAAAGTTTCCTTGGCCTTTTCTTTTCCATCTTATTCCTTATGTATGTTCTAATTTTTCCTCATATTTAGTTACCAAATGCTTTCTTCATTGAATAATTACATTTCTATGTCTAATACTTCTTCTAGGATGAATTATACTTAAAAAATGTTCTTGACTCTTCTGCATTTTCTCTTTTTCCTTTAATCCTTCCCTAGCTTCGAGTCAGGAAACAAATATCTACTGGTCTACATAACAAAAACTTATGGTTCCTAAATACCAATCCATGGACCAGTGCTGTTACAGTTTCTACCATCTGTAGAAAAGTGATAAACATAACATGTGTGCATGCATGCATGCCACACACACACACACACACACACACACACCCTACTGGTATAAAGGTGCCAAATGAAACTACCTTTTCTTGGAAAGCTTGTTCTTTAATCTGAAATTATGTTCTTATACTTTTTAACTTTTTAAATACTTTTCCTATTATATACTAACTAGAGATCTGATGCACGAGATTCATGCACTGGAGGGGAGAGGTGGTGTGGAGGGGTCCTTCAGCCTGGCCTGAGCCCTCTCACAGTCCAGGCCTGCTGGGAATTGGGCCTAAACTGGCAGGCAGACATCCCACTCACAGTCTGGGGCTCTCGCAGCCCAGGACCCCTTGATCCTTACTGCCTGCCTGCAGTGGAAACTGGAGAGGCTCCAGCCACCACCCCTGCACTTGCCAGCTGTGAGCCCAACTTCTGGTTGTGTGGTGCTCCCCTGAAACTCACTGACCAGCAGGGGGCAGCTCCTGCATTGAGTGTCTGCCCCCTGGTGGTCAGTGTACATCATAGCGACCAGTCATTCCGCTGTTCGGTCTATGTGCATATTGTGCTTTTACTATATAGGATGGAAATGGTAGTTTCTTTACTATCCTGGCTTACAGAGAGTAAATGTTTTTATTATTTGTCAAAATAACTTGGCTATCCTCAGAATTTAATTTTTGATTTTCAAAACTTTGGGGAGAAATTTCCCTAGTCTTTGAAATTCAACAGTCTGGGAGCCACTCAAACAAATAATTGACTTGACTCGTCTTTGTTAACCTCTTTGCAATGCAATCCCTCTATTTCATTTACTTAATATGTTATTTATTTAATTAAACTTATTAGATGTCTTTAATTCCTTTAATTCCTTTCCCTTCAACAATCACACCATAGAAGTAGAAAAATTAGAATGTTTTGTTTTAATCTATACAATGCTTAAACTATATCAGGTAAAGATAGGTGCCTAATTAATACTGTTCAAAGCTGTAGAAAATCTTGTTTCCATTTCAAAAATACTGTAGAAAAATTATTTTGTTTGATAGAATAATCTATTTAAAAAATCAGTATGATACTTACCTGGCAGGGGAGACACCATGATCACAAAGGTGGTTTTCCAGGGCGAGGCTATCTATTGCACTCTGGATGTGCTGACCCCTGCAATTTCCCCAAATGTGGGAAACTCGACTCCATAGTTTGTGGTAGTGGGGGATTGTGCTCGCACTCTCCACTCACAAAAAAAAAAAAAACAAAAAAACAAAAAAAAATCAGTATATTTCTAAAATGCTATAAAGAAACAAACATGAGCAACACTGTGTGCTAATGTCAAAATGAAGTTAGCAATAATTCAGAAGAAATATGTAAGAAGGTGAATGTTATGTTCGGTAATAAACAATAATGTATTCACAGGGGTTATGGCTAAGCTACTTTACTTTTTTATTAAACACTAGACAATTCACCTCTGAAGAACTAAGCAACTACTAAATCAATTTAATGTAAATTTGTTTTGGGTGCTAAGAGTCCTGAATTTCACTTCTAGTTCCATTATTAAGAAATTGTGTGACCTTGATAAGTTATTTCACTGCCCTGAATCTTAACACTTTTGTACATAAAAGACAAGGCATATCATCTAATTCTTTGCAATTATAATGTTAAAAATAACCTCTACAAAGGAATTCTACCATTTTCAATAACACAGATGGACCTAGAAGACATTGCACTAAGTGAAATAAGTTAGACACAGAAAAAAAAAGTACTGCATGACCTCACTTATATTTGAAATTTTAAAGCATCAAACTCAAAATCAGACAGTAGGATTATGATTGCCATAGACTAAGGAGTGGGAGGAATAAGGAGATATTGGTCACAGGATATAAAAGTTCACTTATGTGTGATGAATAAATTCTGGAGATCTGAAGTATAGCATAATGACAATAATTCACAACACTCTATTATATACTTTAAGTTTTCTAAGGGTATAGATCTTAAATCTCCTCAAAACACATACATAGAGACAAGTCACTATGTAGAGGTGACATAATATTTTAGCTTAATTATAGTGATCTTTTCAATGTTATATATAGACATCAATGTCAAGTTGTACACTAAATATATATAATTCCTATATGTAAAAAGTACCTTAATAAAATTATTTTTTAAAGAAGAATGAAATTCAGATTCTGCAAGTTTATTTGAATAAGCAGAGCTGAGATCTTGAATTATGGGATCAATAACTCCAAATCCTGATATTACAACCTCCTGGAATGGCACCAATTATCTGACTGGTTGTAGCATAATTTCTAAAAAGTCATCACAGTACTTTTTAAAATCTCTTTAAGAAAGCATGGCGCAGAAACAGGTTTGGCTCAGTGGATAGAGTGTTGGCCTGCGGACTGAAAGGTCCCAGGTTCGATTCCGGTCAAGGGCATGTACCTTGGTTGCAGGCACATCCCCAGTAGGGGGTGTGCAGGAGGCAGCTGATTGATGACTCTCTCTCATCGATGTTTCTAACTCTCTATCCCTCTCTCTGCCTCTCTGTAAAAAATTGATAAAATATATATTTTTTTTAAAAAAAGAAAGAAAGAAAGCATGGCATAGAATCATTTAAGAAGGAGGATTTTTTTCAAAGTAAAATAAAAGATAGGGCACAGGAACTTTTAAATGGCTTGGAATCACTGTGATTAGACAACTCCTATAAGAGTAGAATAGTAATACAGTTATGAATATAGTCCCTGGTGACTTACTGCTTGACTCATCCAAAATTGTGCCCTTTCCACTCCAGTTAAAATGTTATCTCCCATCAAAATATGACACCCAAAAACAACATGCCAGTAACTCTAGGCCTTGGGGAACTACAATGAATATCATTCAAATTAATTCTGACTGACATTTTGGTAAATCACCTCTCGAAGTCAGGAAGGGAACATTTTAAAGCACTTGACTAGTGCCAAAATAGTCAGGAGTAAACCCACATTTATTACTCAGGAGGCAAAGTGCCAGCAGACTCTGAATCCAGAAAAATGGCAGCCACATCATCTCAACTGGAACATGAGTGATGGGTCTTTGTCAATAACATCAAGTTAGCAATTCCCACTATACACATGGTTTAGCAGGTAAGATATAGAATTAGAAGTACAGTTCTTATGTGCATTCATTCATATTTTAGAAAGATAGCTCAATCATTTTAATAAAATTAATTCTCAATCATTCTCAATAAAATTAAGAGCAAAGCTTTGGAATCCACAAGAACCTATTCAAACATGGATTCTGCCACTTATCAGCCATTGAGCTTCAAGAAAGTTAATTTCTCTAAGCCTTGGTTTTCTGAAATGTAAAATATAGGTGATAAAAACTTATTTTATATGGCCAATCGCTAGACTAAATGAGATGGTGCATATGCACTGTTCAGCAAAATGCTGGGCATAACTGAGCAAAAGTTAGCTGTTGTTGCTATATGTATCTAAAATAGTTATAGCTTGAGCCCATTATACTTTCATTATAAATGGGACCAATTATAAAATAATGACCTAGGATTATATTTGTATATAATAGTTCTGTTTGTGTATAATAAGCCTTTCAGAGTGAAGACGTTAGTATTTATTGAGCATTTACTATGCCAGACATCATGTAGGGTCCTTTACCTATATTTATACCCATCGGCTCATTTAATCTTCTAATCACAGAGATACTAAGATTGAGAGAGTTTATAACTTTTTACCCAAGGTGATACAGCTAACAGTTGTTAAAGCCAGGATTTGTCCGTAGATCTGTCTTCAAAGCCAGTAAATCTAACCCTACATCTTATTTAGAGATAGCAAAACTGTTCATTGAGCTGAACCTCTTTCAAACCCATGCCCTTCTGCCCCATCCCATTGACATTGCTCTAGTTCAGGTGCCTCTTCATCCCTAATCATCTTTGCTATGATAATAATGATCTACCTGGGCTCTTCTCCAGCATTTGCTTGTCCCGATTCACTCTTACTTCCAGCTGCCAGAATAAACTTCCTAAAGTTCAGCTTCATGTGTGGTACCCTGTTTCTAGTCAAGGAATCCCCCTATTGAGAAAATCAAGTCCAAATGCATCAGACTTTCCTTCAATACTCTCAATAACCAGGAATCACTCCTTCTTTTCAACCTCATTCCTAATCAGTGCTGCATTTTGGATATAAGTGCTCCAGTTGACCTGGATGACCCATGGTTTCCTGGAGAATGCCAACTATCCTGGACAACCTTACCTGCCTTATTTGCTGCATTGGACAGCTCACTGCTGATCTTTCTACTCCAAACCTCCTCTCATCCGGCCCCATCAAAACCTTACCCATATTCTGTGGCTCAGCATCAACATCATTTCATTAATCAAATCTTTTCTGATCAATCAGCATTCTTTGTGATCATTACCTCTTCTCAATATCCACAGCTCTTTATTTTTGCCTCCATCATAGCACTTTTCATTTTCTGCTCTGTAGTATCTTAGGCTGTCACTTTCTTGAAAGTAGACACCGAGTCTTCTTTATTAAACATCCAAGTGATTTGAATATAGTAATAGTTACAACCAATACTTATATATCACATTATATTTCAGGCATTGTTCTAAGATATTTTACATATATTAACTCAACCCACCCAACAAACCTATTAGGTAAGTGTGGTAGGCAGCCTCTGCGATGATCTGAAATGATCCTAGGATTCACACCTGTCTGTAACCAGCTCTTTTTGCATGTAGGCTGGACATAGGAATTTGATTCTCATGAATACTTTGGAATCTCATTAATCTGGAATTGGGGCCCACCTCTAACAATTCCTGCCAGGGTGACCTTAGGCATCTGAGTTTAGGGACACAACACTGAGCCACAGCTACCATCAGTGTACAGAAGGACTAGGAAAGGGAACTACCCTCGGGGAAGACTAGGTTTTGTTTCTGGCATAATTAAGTCGCTTGGAGTAGTGTCTGGTCATGTGCTCTTGAAGGCCTTGCTCAAATAAATTCCTTGTGTTTAACAAGGTCTTTCTTGGCCACAAAAGTGAAGAGGGCTGACTCCTCCACCATTTATTCGTCCTACTCACATGACACATATGATTACAGTATCTGTTAGAAGACAAGAAATTATCATAATATCTTTACAATATGCAATTAAATTATTCATTCACAAAGTCTTACCTGAACATCCTGTGTAAGGCCTACACATTGGTAATGAGGGACTCCTTACTAGAATGTTCTTAATAAAGAAGACAACTTGTAAATATCTATTGAATTAATCATTGAACACTCTGTATTATGCCATTTTATTATCAGAAATTCTTTTATGATGCATTATGAAAATAACTGTTCTGTTACAGTTCACAAAATCGTGTTAAGTAAGAGCTGACTGAGCTGACTTCCTGAAGCTATATCACTCGGTGGCCAAGATCTATATTGTGCGGGATGGGTGTCACCCCCATCTGCATTCATCTCCGCACTATGTCAGGGAAGTCTGGAACTACATTTCCCATAAGGCCCAGCTCTCTCCTAACCCCTTAGTGCCCTAGAGAGGCATTCTCACAGATTGAAGTTTACTAGTACACCTAGGTGGCATCTGCTGGCAGGAAGCTTAGATTATGTGAGGTGCAGCCTGCCTTTGACTTCTGAGGATTTCTACTAAGAATTATTGTGTTCTTAGTAGAATATGGTGATGCTTAAACTGAGATCCTTAGCTACAGCTTCCCTGTAAATCCTGTATCATTCTATTCCTGGAATAGTTTCTGCTAGGACTCCTGACTTCAGACTCTCAGAATTTCCAAATGTTGTATAAGCCTCCAATTTCATATAAAATAATTTTTAGTCCTAGCTGGTGTTGCTCAGTGGATAGAGCGTCGGCCTCAAGGGCACATGCCTGGGTTGCGGCTGGATCCTCAATAGGGGGCGTGCAGAAGGCAGCCAATCAATGATTCTCTCTCATCATTGATGTTTCTATCTTTCTCTCCCTCTCCCTTCCTTTTTGAAATGAATAAAAAAATATTTTTTAAAAAAGAATTTCTAATTTCTAACCAAAACACCTTGGTGGCTTCTGTTTTCCTAACATATAGACACAGTATGATTTGGAGATTTTATAGTAATAAATATTATCATTCATTATACACAAAATCATTCCCCAATAAAAAATTTAATTACTATCTCATAGAACTTATAGAATTACAATATTGAAAATTTTAAGTGGTCTTCTAGTCTCAATGAATTATGTTACTATACCTACTCCT